TTATTTGATAATTCCAATAGAACCCTATGTTGTGTTTAAATGACTTGAAGAAATCTTAATTTATTCAAAATGAAAATAATTTTTTATTATAAAATATATTCTTGTACTTTACCTTATTTATATACGTATTTAATTTTTATAATAATTTTCTAATTAATCTGTGAATGAAAGTTTCTTGTTTAAATATAACAGAAATTATATATCCATAATTATGACTGCAGTAATAATAATTCAAATTAACCACTTTTAAAAGTACCATAATTTTAAATTGAATACAATTAAAAATATTATTCTGGCCACAGAAAGATATTAAATTATTACATAAACTTCTATTTTATAATAAAAGTATTTTCATTCAGTAATTTTCGATTTGAATTTTTAAAAGATTTATGTACATAGTTCTTTCAGTCAGTTCCTTAGAGGAAATAGATTTCAAACAGAATTAATGGAAAAACGGTGAGTGAATTAAAATAAATTTTCATCATTTGAATAAAAATGTTCTTTTTTATCTGTGCTTTCTTACCAAGTTAATTAAGAATTCCCATTTGTAGTAATTATCTTAGATTTATTTTTTTCTTAAACTCTTCATTTTTCAATATAAGAAATTTTTATACTTTACAGTGTTACAGTGTCATCAAATAGCATTTGGATATGTGGATAAAATCTTACATTAGGATCTGTTTTTATTTTTTTTTTGGACTCGTTATATTACGAAACTAAATTTGGTGTTACTGAAACTTCCAAAATAACTTGTTAGCCTAGTGTATTTTATATAACTATTATATATTCATTAGTTCAATTATTTCTCAACGGTAAACGGACATCTTGGCGAAAATCTAAACAAAATTAATTTCACCAGCAAAGTACTGAAGAACTAATGTAAAAACCTATAGGTTTTACAATAAGTACAATAAGGATTTGATTTATTGGCCAGTTTAATATTTAATTAAAATTTCACATTAATTCAATTATCTTCAATTAAATAAACAAGTATTCAATTATCTTATACAACTTAAGTAAGGGTCTTAGAATAAGAATTACATGGGTCTAAAATTTTCTGACAGTACAATCATTTTTAATATTATTGTATTAATAACAGTTATTTTAATATTATGGTACACAAAGTAAAAGAAAACTTTAAGTATACAAGAATAGTGAAAAAAAAATTTAATGTTTTCCTGTTCTTAAAAGACACGATAATAATTAGTTACTTATATTATTACAAGCTTGTTAGTTTCAATTTAGTTTTCCTTCGTGTTTTTTGTATATGTATATTGTAAAATGAAAAAATAAATTAAGAAAAAACAAATATTAAAAAATATGCACTACTCTTTCCCTCAGTTAAAAATATTTTATTATACAAACTAGAGAACGGTTATAGGCAATAGCTGTATACGGATGGAGAATATAGAAAGAAATTTAAATATGGTCGAATGCAAAGAAAAATTAAAGCGAACACAAAATCTCATCACGCTGTGAAACAAATTTTAAAAAACAAAAAAAAGGCAAGGAAAAAAGGTACTACGAGGAAAAACGAATCAAACAACTTGGAAAAAAGTGGAAATTGTTATAAGAGGAAAAATTAAAAAAAAAAATTAAATGTAGAGAAAATTGTGTGTTTCCATTTACATTTACACAAATAAAAAGAAAAAAATCATGCAAATTATCGCGTTAAAAAAAACCAAGCAAATCGCAATTATTGCAATTAATTTATTGCAGATGGTAAAAAAAATTAAAAAAAAATTAAACATTTTTCCAATTTTTGTACTACAGAAACAAAAAACAGCATAACATCATAAAATTTAATTAAAAAGTTACCAAAATAACACAAATTATATTTTAATTATTTGTGGATTTTGAAAAATTACCGAAAAAAATGACATAATTAAATGTGTAATTGTTGAGTTTAATTCGCACCCCAAAAATTAGACTCTTTTAAGTATCAAGTGACATAAAATATTAAAAATTGTTTTTTAAATTTGGTGCTACGCTATTTTGATGGTATAAAAAAAAAATCTCGATTTCAACTTGCATTTCTTTTGAAATCAAACTATTTTAAAACAGCAGGCATTCTCAATTATTTGATCGTCGTTATTATATTGAAAATACTTATATCTGAAACTTATAACAGAGCTATTTCAACTTTGAGAAACTACATCCTATATGAAGGTTAAATATTAGTTCTGTAGTCTGTAATAACTTTGAAAATTTCTCACATTCCGTTTAAAAATTAAGCAAAGTTTTTACTCCTTATACACATTTTATTTTCATTTCGTTACAATTTTATGCAGGATTAATTAAAAATATTATGAATTAAAAGTATAAACTCAAGTTTCTGAAATTGCCGCATTATTTAATATAAGTGTTAATGGGAAAGTATTCTTTTCTTAGAAATATAAAAGAATTGAGAAAATGATTCAAGATGTGTTAATCCATACGATTTACTTAGTTCACCTATATTAAATATCCAATTTATTTAAATAACCAAAGTTTATGGTTGAATGACTAATGATATAATACATGATAGTTGCAAAGAGAAAACATCTCAAGTCGCGAAAGTTAAATATTATGGCGGATGCGGGAATATTGACTATTAATACATGTTAAATAAAATTAAAATTTGTTTTTATAATTACACCAAATTTAGGTTTTATTTGTTAATTTTAATGTTTATTTTACCACAAATTTATGTCTAACTTGAATTAAACTTTAATTGTGCGTAACTGAAACTAAGAACTCAAGATCTTAAATCAAAATAATTGCATTTGTGGGTAATAATGACTTAAGCGTAAAATAAAATTAAATTAACGCCGTAATGCAAAAAAAAGTCTTTATGTCAATTAATATCGCTCTTTGATAAATGTATGAAAATCTTCTCATAGGGGTGCAAATACTACTTACATTTTACTTATTATATTAAAACTAAAATTTCTTTTTTTTTATTTTACAATCTAAATTTTCACTACACATTTGGAAAGAAAATTATTTCATATGTTATAAAAATGGAAATTTTTTTTAACTGATAAACGATCATTAAAATTTAAGTAAAAATAATAAATTATTAAAACAGAAAGTGTAGAAAATTATTAATTTCTTGTATGTTACGTAACATTAATTACACAATAAATTATAGTTTTTTTTAATATTTTTATTTTAGTAATTTTGATAAAAATTTGTTTTTTTTTCGTAAATAATTACAATAATTTTTATGTATATATTCCCGAGCCACTTTTGGAAGTTCAAAAAAATTGATTAGCTTAATTTCTATTGTAGCTTAAGATTTAATTACTTTAGGATTCAATTAGACAGCTCAACATTTTTTTAAAAGTTATAGTTTTAATGCAGGAAAATAAATTGCTAACTTTCTGTGTTCGTACAATTAGTAATGTTGCCTTGATTTTAATTATTTTAGAAATATGAAATAATTTCTTTTTTGAAATAAAACTGGACTTTTATAAAATTCCAAAATATAAGTCCAATTTTTAATTCAGAATTCAGTCTTTGTTTTCAATAATATTATAATGTAGAAGCAGGGCAACACAAATTTGTTTGAGAATCGTTCTCCTAATAATGATAAAAAGCATATAACATAAAATATACAACATATAAACTTTTAGAAACATTTTTTTTCTCAACTTTGCAAAATGCTCTTATAAAACTGAGAAGCACTTAGGTAAAGTATTAACAGCAACGGTTATAAAAGTCGTGCACTCAGGAAACTTTTCAATTTTGTATAGGAATACTACGCCAGCAACTTTGCACCCACCACGCTAACGTCCTGACCTATAATATTAATTAGATCGTATACTATAGTATTAAAAAATTCTCTAATGACAAGTAGGTCTTCACTTAATTTGACTAACACTTAGAAATTTACATGTTATGTCTCCCTTGCCATAAAAATAATTTTAATTTAAAATACTTTACTGTTTTATTTAAAAAGCAATCGCATTATGCTGGATTAATTGTCTCGCCTGCTTGCTTTTGAAGCTGCACGTGCACATTTTGTAAAAATTTAAATTTTACTCAAATTCCCTGTATATAGAATATTTTCTCTATGTAAAAGAAAATTGATTTAACTTCAACTTTAGGTCAGAAGTTTTTGAAATTAAGTAGAAATTATTAAAAAATTTAGTTCAGTTTTTGTTCACACGGAACAATATCTGTTTGATGAACCATTTTAAATCAAAATATTTCATAAATTTTTTAAATGCGAGAAAAAAGAAGAGTTTCAGTATTAACATCAAAAATTTTTATTGAAAATTTTTATTGATCAATCTTCAAAAGCGTCACCTTAAAAATTAAAGGTGTTCTCTTCATTTAAAGACAGGTAGTCATAGTTTATGATATTTAGGTCACCATTCTATAATTTTTTCTTTTGCCTCTTTATAAAACAAATTTTAATATAAAAACGTTTGTTTGAATATTTATTGATAAATGTATACTTATCACATATTTTCCTGATTTCTTCAGAGAATTTTTTTAATCATGTATTTTAGAATTTGTTACTTGCTTTTTTTTTTAATTTTAGGATAAGGTGCTTTTTTTCATATATTTTGTATCTTTTCCAATAATTTTTACTATTAATTTATGCAATTTTTTAAAATTTTTATTTAAATTATTTTTTCTTTTTACATAATTCAAGTCTAAATTAGGTTTTTTTTCATAAAGCAACAATTTTTCAATGGTATTTTTATGTTTTTTCTATGCCAAATTTTTTTATCACCTTCTTTTGTATAATAAAAAATTTTGGTCTGGATTCTTTTGTTTCTGATTTAATTTTTTTCTAAAATTCTTTTATATTTTTTTTTTATTTTTTTTTTCTGAAATACACACTTTCTCGCATATTTGCGTCTCTAATTTTTTCAATAACAAAGTCAAAAATTAAAACTTTCTTTCAGTAATCGACAGAAAATTAAAATATTTCCAATTATAAAAAAATGATTTTATACAAAATGAACAAAAACAAAATAATAAACAGAAAAAAAAATGAGCCAAACCTTTTTTATTTATTTTTTCTTAACAACAAAAAAACCACAATATCACAAACCGAAAATAAGAACAAATTAGTTACAAATCGCAATTATAGATTTACAAAGTCAAATTTCTTTTACGAGACAACGAATTACAGAATTTTTAAATTTTTCTATAAAATTTCTACTTTTTATTTGCCTCCAACTTAAAATATACAATATTTTATGTAATGTTAACCGATCGACAGTCTATCGACAACTTAGCTTCTTACTTATAAACGACTCAAGATGTTAACTTCTTTTCTGTTATTTTCTTTCAAGTTTGAAAATAAAAGAAAATAACAACTTTTTCTACTTAATTTTCTTTTATTTTTTTTTTATTTTGCTGCTTGTTTTTCTTTACTTAATTTTAAAATGCTTGCTAGCTCACTTAATGCACAAAAGTAGATATTCAACTTAGAAATAAAAAATAAAACAAGCAAAAATTTTAAATAAGAAAAAGAAAAAACAAGTCACTCGCGTCGTCGTTTCTATTTACCCCATATACTAAACCAGTACTGATATATGTACACAGGTACATTAATGTACATACTCGTACATGAATATTGATGTAGTGAATCTAAGCCTATGAAGCCTATATTCGAGTGTATTTACGAAAAGCGTATGGAATTTCGAGTAAAAATTTTTAGGAACTGCACATTTCATATAATTATGAATCAGATAAATAGTGACAACTTATTTGTTTGTAGTTCATAAATTACGGAAAAGTTACTTCTGTAAATTTCTGATAAATTTTTTTTAAGATACAAAAATTAAAGTATAATGCCTACTGATTTAGAACTTTTTGTGTGGTCTATTCGGGTGCCATACCAATATTAGGACTAAAAAATTAAAATTTAAAATGGAATGGGTATTGTAAATGCACTTTATGGCGTTGAGTATCAGCTTTACGCTAAAAGTTTGTTGCTTAACCGTTAATTGAGAGAAGGTCGATAGCAGCCTGTTTACTAATGTTAAAATCTAGAAAACTAACCTATTTTGAAATAAATGAAGTGAAGTTGTAATATTTCAGAACTTTAGAAATGTAATTTGAAGTTTACAGGAAGGTCGTATAAGACCAAACATTTCATGGAACAATAATTTTTCTACAAATTATTTATTAAATAATCTAATATTTTAAATTTTCGTGCCGAATATTTAATACTGTATATTTTTTAATAAGATTTCACTAATCCAAAGATTCCACCAACATTCTTAACATTAAATAAATATAATTTTTTTCAACTATATAAGCAAAGAGTCTTCATACTCCGGTATATGGAGTGGCAATATAAATATACTACTTTAATAATCAATACACCATACAAATTTACACTATACCGTAAACAATAAATTTTATATATCCATATGTACACATATCGTATAAATAAGCAAGAGTAATAAATTAACAGTTAATCACATATTTACCTGTTTCATTGCATGATGTACATACGTAATATTGTTTAAAATAAAGAAGAGAAAAATTAAGGTAAAAATAAGGTGAAGCAGAAAAAGTAACTAAAAAGAAAAGAAGAAAATTATAAAAAAAATATGGAGAGTTCAAACAAGAATAGTAAGTGAGTTTGATAAAGTTAGTGCTAAGTAAAGAGAAAAACAGATAAATTTATAAAATTGAGTCGAGTTACTTTGCTCTCACACTTTACAATAGGTACAATAGAACAGATGAACGCTAAATGAAGAAAATCAGTGCTTTTTTTTGTAACAATGCTAAAATTCGATTTTTGTAAACAATATAACAGCCAGGAATATGAATATCTATGCCAAAATTAGGCAGATTGAAGTGTTAAAATTAGATAAGTTCATAGAAAAAGTAACGCTAGCGAAACCATTGATTTTTCTCTACATGAAGTTTATCTCCAATAGACGATATACTCGAGCATATATTTTTTTGAGTCTATCATTTATTGAAAAAATAAAAGAATAATTCGTTCGAATTATTTCGGCCGAATTTAATTTTATATTTCATATAAATTACAAACGTAAACATAAGCACACTATTCCATTCGAATTACTTTACTTATCCAATGCAGAAGTAATACAATTTTGTTATTTATTTTATTCTATCGAAGTCTTATGATATATGTATTTATAAATTGTATTTATGTGTCGATGGTTAATATTTCAATTATAACTCGAAAAAAAATATTTAAAAAAAACAAGTAAATTTACAAAAAAAAAAAAAGATATACTTAAATCAAGAAAAATTTCTTCGACATAATTAAAATTGGAATAATCACAATAATGCATAATATTTGGGTTTACTAGTTTCAACAAAACTAGAATAGATAAGTTGAACTAGTATTTCTTTTTTTTACTTTTGAAATTCTTCTTTTGCAATAGAGAACCTGATTTTCTATTCTCTGCGAACTTTTCTTGTATACTAGTACAGTTGTAAAGATACGAGTACTATAAATTATTTTTGTTCTAAATATGAAGTTATTTTGAAATTTAATTATTTTTTCTCAAGTTAGGCATTTTTTGATCTCAATTCAGATATTTTTTAAAAAGTTATAATGATTCTTTCATAATAGATTTGTGTGTGGATGTTTTAGCGTCGAATTATTTTGAACTATCTATTTTATTTTAAGTTATTTCCATTCATCATTACCAAAATATTTCAAAAGATTATATTTGGGGTGAGACAAAAAATTGAATGAGGTTAATTGGTTTTATTATACTGGTTAAATTCAAGGGTTAATTGCGTGAGTTATTTTTTTGACAAAAATAATTATATTTTTTGATAGCATGGCGCTTATCAAGCTATCGGCATTTATGGAAATTTGAAAAAGCCTACTGTTTCTAAAATCTAAAGTACCGAAAATTCAAATTTTACGAATTTCGAGTGGTGAGAGCTTGAAAGGCGATGGAGGTGGAAACAAATTTTATTTTGACGAAGAAACCTATTTATTAATATCCAAAGGCTGCTAACCTCTACAAATTGTGGTCTAGAAGAAAAACGATTTCAAAAATTTCAAAAAAGCAGATTTCAGACACAATTAATTTCAATGGCAATTTTGTCATTTGTGTTTTCAGCTATGTTATGCCGTGGCGAAAAAAACAATTCTTTCCCGCTTTTGCAGAATTTAAAAACAGTTTGTGATTTTGTTGCAATTTATCTTTTCAGAGGGAGAAAGATAAGTGAAAATTTTTTTCTATAAGTTTCTAATAAAGATCTAATTATGTAAAAAATTTCAGCGTTCTGTCTTAAAGCGCTCAGAAGTTTTGTAAACATATCCGCGGACGGACAGAAAAAGTTAACAGAAATTTTTTGAAAAAGTATTAAAAAAAGCAGACAAAGGAAGGAAAAATAAAAATATAAAAAAAGCAATTGAAATAAAATATTTCTGATATTAATTGAATCACATAATAAACTTCATTCGCTCCCAACTATTTTGGAAAACTTCGCTCAAAAATTCTGTCTTAAATGTATATATCAAATACAAATTCAAGTACAAATCAGTACCAAAAAGACATTTACTGGTGTCAAGTTGATTAATAGTTTGATGATAGCTCTTCAAATTCAAATTTATAAAATCAATAAAAATCAATCGTAATCTTTGATTATAATCAGGATTCTGAAAGATAATCTCAAAATAAAATGTGAACGTAAAAACTGAATAATGTTCTCCAAATATTAAGTAATAACAAATTTCGTGGCAAGCCAAGTACATTTAAATTACTAAACTTTTTGAAAAATTTCTCCAAAACGCAAACGTGCAAATAAGTGTATGCGAACACTAAAATCAAGTGTATCCATGTGAATTGAGTTTAGGTTATTTATTTTATTTTCATAGTTGACCAAAAGTTCTAGGTTTCGATAATTCAATTTCAACAGTAAAATTCTGAAACGTGTGAGTTTTATTTTGAGAGTTTTGCATCCCATAATTATAAAATTAAAATAAATGCTGAAGAATATTTTTCTAAGTAAATAGGAGTTTTATTTATTCTCTTATTGGTAAGAATTTGTGGCTGCTATTAAAAATTAGTTCGAAAAAATTTATCTTTTCTTTGCTCAATTTCTTTAGTTCGGCAGTTTAAGAATTTCTTTTTTCAGATGAGCTTTAAATCCTTGTGATCACGAATTACAGATTAAGTGTATTTTCCGCAGCTTGGTAGCGGCTTTACTAATGTAATATTTTACTGCAAACTTGAAATTCATCGCAGATTCATTCATTTTTGACATTCATTACTGCATTGCTATCTATAGTAATGTGGTAACAAAAACTTTAACTAATGACGAAGACATTGTATTATTATGATTCTACGTTCTTGCGTAGCTGACGATATTGTTTCATATCATTATACCTCCTAAAAAATTATTCTAAGCAATATAAGGCAATAGAACTTATAATAATATAGAAGAATAATAAAAAAACTTGCTCAATAAACATTGTACAGTTCAGAACCTTAATAAGAAAATACATTTTCAGTTGCCCTTACTATGCATAACTGAGAACGCGTAAAGATAAAATCATAACTTCTCTACAAAATTTTTCAAAATTTCTAAAGTATGAATTTAAATTTTAAACCCCCTCGTGTGAGATTGAAGTAGTTTTAATTACTCTCTTCTTACCTATTATTCAGTACCTGAAAAATTAAATAAAATATTCGGAAACAATACTTCATTAATAATTCTACTTGTATATCACTACATGCTTTCAATAAAATGCCCTCTCTATAATTTGATTTTAGTTGCCCTTATGCATAAGAAAAATTTCAAAAAAACTAAAATATGCTTGAATTATCTCTTTTGTAACTAAATCGATCAATGAAATATAATCAGACTATAGCGCAAAACTACAAAGTTAAAATGCATAACACACAGCATTTGAAAGAAAATTCAAAAAAATTAAAAAAAGAAGAAAAACTACGAAGAAAACTGTTTTTAATTAAATTTTACTTTCTACATGAATAACCCAATAAATAAATAAATTACTTTAGGTGAACATACGTACATACTATACGTATATGGTACATATGAGTATGTATATATTGTATAAATTAA